AAATTGTAAAAGTAGGACCTTTAAGAGGTAATTAGGTCACAAGGGCTCTGCCTTAATGAATGGATTAATGTCATTATCATGGAAGTGGGTAAATTACTAGTTAAGTCTCATAATAACTCCTAATTAGCTCCTCACTGGCAGGGTGGAGATGTCACACAACCTAGTATTCCTCATGACTACACAAAGATCTAGGCCTACCTTAGAAGCTCAAAAAATATCTGGGATGAGGAAAAGGGAATACACTTCAAATAGGGCCTAGGAGACTAGAGAAGTCCCTGCCTGCTTCTCAAATACCATTTCTCACCATTTTCCCTTCACTCACTGGAGGCCAGCCATACCCCCTACTGTGTTCCTCCAGCAGACAGGAAGAAGGAAGAATGACTGCGAATGACTGCCCATAATCCCACCACCCACAATTAGCCATTAACATCTGGCATACTAACTTCCTGTATTTTTTTCTTAGATATAAGTAAAATTTTTGGAAATAACACCTATCTTCCATTAGAAATCAGAACAATACAGATCGTTAAAATCCTCCTGTACATATACATCACCCCAGCCCAGATCTGCTCCCCACCACCTGAGTTTATCACTTTTATGTATATGCATATATATATATATATATATACCCACATAATATATAAGACTTTTTTTTAAATTTACTGCTGGGTACAGCAGCTCATGCCTGTAATCCCAGCACTTTGGGAGGCCAATGCAGGAGGATCACTTGAGCCCAGGAGTTCAAGATTGGTCTGGACAATATAGGAAGACCTTCATCTCTACAAAAAAAATTAAAAAATTAGCCAGGCATGGTGGCGCACACCTGTAGTCCTAGCTACTAGGGGTGCTAAAATGGGAGGACCACTTGAACTCAGGGAGGTTGAGGTTGCAGTGAACTGTGATTGCGTCACAGCACTTCAGACTGTATGACAGAGCGAGACTGTCTCAAAAAATAAAAATAAAAAATTTATGTAAATAGACTATAGACATCACTTGTGCAACTTGCTTTTCTTCACTCAGTGTTTTTCTAAACAATATTTTTTAATGTACCCATTGTTTCCACTGTCTCACAGTTGCTACAATAAGTGAGTCTATGATTCTAAGCCTCTCCAATTCTAAGGTTCTCTGTGAGAAGTTTAGTGTTAGGAGAAGCCCAATATAGGCTATACTGAGGCTTAGTTTTTCCATCAGGATCCAAATGCTATGCTGAGGGGCAGGTTATATAACTATTTAGGTGTGTATATTATATGTTATACGCCATTTTTATTTAGATATAATTGACATACCCTGTAAGTCACCATTTAAAGTGTACAATTCAGTGGCTTTAGTGTATTCAGAGTTGTGCAACAATCACCACACTATTTTAGAAGCTTTTCTTTTTTTCTTTTTTTAGACGGGGTTTCACTATGTTAATCAGGCTGGTCTTGAACTCTCAAACTCAGGTGATCCGCCCATCTGGGCCTCCAAAGTGCTTGGATTACAGGCGTGAGCCACTATGCCATGCCTTGGAAGCTTTTCATCACCCCAAAGAAACCCCATACTCATTAACATCACTCAAAGGGCTGGGCTCTTTTTTTTTTTTTTGGGGGGGGACAGGGGGACAGGGTCTTACTCTGTCACCCAGACTGCAGTGTAGTGGCATAGTCATAGCTCACTACAACCTTGATTTCCTGGGCTCAAGCGATCCTCCCACCTCAGCCTTCCAAAGTTATGGGATTACAGGTGTCAGCTACCGTGCCCAGCTAATTACTTTTATTTTAATTTTTAGTAGAGACAGGGTCTCACTATGTTGCTCAGACTGGTCTAGGATTCCTGAGCTCAACTAATCTTCCTTCCTTGGCCTCCCAAAGTGTTGGAATTACAGGCATGAGCCAGCACATCTGGCCAAGGGGCTGGGTTTTAAATTGGATCTCCAACTGGGCTCTGTGGGGCACACCTGTAAATGCCAGCTACTCAGAAGGCTGAGATGGGAGGATACATTGGCTCTCTACTCTTCTCAATGTTAGAACCAGAATCAGGCATGATTCATTCAAGGGCCACCTATACACCTTGCCCATAACAAAGAATCTTCCCTTTGTGCCCTCTTCCCTCCCTCTACTGCAGTGCACAGAATTGGCCTCTTATCCAGAGTTCTGTGGCTCTCAGGCCCCTAGTTTCTCCTGTCTGAAGGATAGAGTTTGTTTAACCTTCAGTGCCCAGTGTCACACACTGGCCAGCCTACAGAGCTGAAGATCACAGGGTTTGGATGACTTAACTGAGTATGCTTCATAAAGGAGGGGGCATGACAAAATAAGGCTGTGCCCAGGAGAGGCAGGGAACAGAAGCCATACCTGGGCTCCAAGAAGTGAAAGGGGTGGGGCAGGAGATGGACACAGGTGGCCCTGGTACCTATTATAAAGTTCTGTTCTTTTCCCATTCCCTGAGAAAAAAGCCAACATGGGTACTCCAAGCCAGGGTCAAGTCAGGTCTGCACTGGTGAGAACTTCGGATCTTCCCGATAAATAGGTAGGCTCTTTTACATTTTAAATTGGATTTTAATATTTAATACCCAGGATACGATGGAGAGAAGCCAAGAAGGTAACAATGATGAGACTGAAATTCAGAGAGCAAGTCACACAGTCTAAAGCTCCCACAGATACAAAAGCATTCCCTTATCAGAATGAGAAGGCTATTTTTTTAGAGAGGAGGTCTCGCTCTATCACCCAGACTGGAATGCAGTGATGTGACCATAGCTCACTGCAGTCTTGAACTCCTGGCCTTAAGTGATCCCCACCTCAGCCTTCCAAGTGCCTACAGGTATGCTGCACCTGAATAAGACTCTTTGAGGGTATCTGACACCCAGGTGTGAGAGGTGTGCCCAGCATCTCTCAGCGAGTTCAGGGCAGAACCAGAATTCACACACAGGTCAACCCTTTCCCATCACCCAAATTCTTCCTCTTTCTGGGACTCTCACATCCTCTGCTTTTTTTTTGCCTGCTGTTTTCCCATAGGTCCAAGCCCAGGGACTCTCTCCCATTGGTTCTGCTCAACTATGCAGCGACAGCTGGTTCCTAGATGCTCACAGTCTTGGAGCTGAGGGCTAGAAGGAATCACTGAGATTGGCTGTTTTATAGATAAGAAAACGAAGTGGCCACCTCAGGGTGATATGCTGAGTTGGTGGCAGAGCCTAGACTGAAACCAGCTCTGCTGATGCCCAGCCAGGGTTTCTTCCAAGCCAGGGTGCAGAAAGGAAATTCTCCCACAGCAAGGTTCGACCTATGCATACCTCCTCTGCAATGAAGTCCATGGTATCAAATGTGACTCGGCTTTGCCTCTTTGTCTGAAAGAAAGAGGGCAGGGAGAGGAGGGAGAATCAGCAAGATTGCCCCTAGAACTTTACATCTAAAGCCTTCCTGTGTACCTGGACCACCATGGTGGGCAGGAAGCCATGGGAAACCTCATAGCAGCGTTTCAGGTCTGCCTCTGCTTGAAAGGCCCAATTCAGCACTAGGCTTGGGTCCAGCACTGACAACATATTATAGTGAAGGCAGAGAAATATGGGGTGAGGACAAGGAAAGGAGGATAAGGAGAAAAAAGGAAGGGAGAGAGAAAAGGAAGGGGGAAAAGCAGCAAACAAGTATAGGGGGTAAGAAAAGGAGGGATAAAAATAAAAGAAAAATGAAGCCAACCACCTTTAATGAGCCAAGCACAGTGTATCTTCCTTGTCTTGCCCCATTTAATCATCAGGACAAAGCAGGTTTTATTAAGCCCTGTATGGGACTGAGGTGGTGAAGGAAGTTGCCCAAGGGTCACACAGCAAGTCAGTGGTCCAGCTGGGACCCCAATCCAAGGCTTTCAGCAAACCCAATTCCATGTCTGGAGTGTGGCTTTGAGCCACATGTCATTTGTTCCTTGGAGCCACTCAGACCCCTGCCTCGCTCACCCCCACTACCTGTTTACTATTTGCATAGCCATGTGGTACTTCTCAGGGAGGCTACTGAAGGAAAGAGGAGGTGCTCAGAAACATCCAGATTCATATATCTACTGAAGCAGTCTAGGGCTCTCCACCTGATCCTGCACTCCAGCTGCCCAGTGCTCCTCATGACAACCCTATGACCCTTAAAGGCTATTCTTGAGAGGCTTCTGCTCTGCTCAAGCCACTCTGGCTGGTCCATGTGGTGAGGCTTAGCCTCTCACTCCCCTAATAACAAGCCTGACTCTACATCTAAGCTTCCAACTGCCCCATGCATCAGGCCATGTCTACTGGTAATCAAAGCCCTCTGATCTCCAGGGCCCATTGCGTCACCACTGCATGCCACCCTGAGAGTCAGAAGGTCCTTCCTGAGAGCTAACCCGTCTTTGGGTTACAGTTCTTCTACTCCATTCATTTTTCATCCCAGCCCAACCACAGGGCTGCAGCTTTGTTTGGTTTGGCCGGCATGGTGTCTAGAGTCTATGAATCTGAATGTATTTAGATGGGGCATATCCTTCCTCTCCAGCTGGTCTGCTGTATCTTTTTTTTTTTGAAATATTTCTCTAAAACTTTATTTCAAAGTTATTCACCTCACTGTTAATAAGCTGTATGATTACTGCCCTGTGCCAGTATTAGCATGGCCTGCTGTATCTTAAACTCAGCTACACACACACTAGTTATATTACCTGGTGGCCCCTTATAAACCAGTCTAAGGCTGCCTTTCTTTCCCCCATCACCAGCCCCTATCCCCATTTCTTTGCCACTATCTGTCAGATGCGCTTTAGGGAAATTTCTTGGAGTGAATCACTAGATGCAGAGGGGTGGGGGCTGGCTCTAGTCACTCCCGAGAAAACAGGAAAATGGGCAGGATTTGTCCAGGTGACTGCTGGGGAAACTTTCAAGCCCTGAGCAACACGCAGTAGCAATGAAGATACCTTTGGAGAACTAGAATAAACAAGTTAACAGAAGGGTGACCAACTTTTTGAGCTAAAGAAGGGCTCATGATCTACCACTGGGATAAAATATTTTAAATTGGGACCTTCTAGGAAAGCTAAAAACATAGTAACCACAGTGAACAGGGCCCTGAAAATGCTCCCTTCACTGAAGTAGGGGTGTGGGAAAGAAAGTAGAGATGTAAATAGAGCGAGCATTTGGGCATTCAGAAACCTTGGTTACTGTGACTCCTGGACTGCTTCTGGTTCTTTTGATCACCATTGAAATGAAGACCACTTCTCCACCCTCAAGGTTTCTTTCCACATGGAAGGAGGTGTATTAATAGAACACTACTGGCCTCTCTCCTTCTGCATTGAGAAGGAGTGACTTAAGCTCTTTGGTGAATTTGGAAAGAGAAAAACTAGGCATGATCATCTCTCTCCCTCTAAGCCCATATTTTGCTCCACCTTTCCCTGCCATGAGTTTAGGGCAGCAGGCCTGCTGTTGCACTGGAGCCTGCCTTGGTCCAAAGTTGCCTGTGGCTAGGCATGAAAAGCTGTCTAAATCTGGGGTTCAGCATTAGGTAACCCTCTTGCTTGATGATATAAGTTACCCTCTCTAACAGAAGTCTGGTCATTAATAAAGGAGACCATTGGATCTCTCATCTGCTTTTTCTTTTGTCTTCTTTCTCAGTTAGTTCTGAGTTTGGGCCAACAAGTGGGGTGTAATTTATTGGGCCTCTTTAGGCCCTCATAATCCTGCTGAGCCCAGCTGCTTACATCCCAGAAGGAGAAGGCAGGGTGCTTCCAGTGAGCAGTCTCAATGATTTGATATTCCCGGAATCCCCTGAGGCCTTGGCGGAACATTTTACACACTCGAATCATTATCACGATATCCCTGGCAAGCTGGTACAGTCCCTAGGGAAACAAAGCAAACAAGATCAATACAAACCAATAGAGCCCAGGAGGTCAAGGTTGCAATTAGTTATGATTGTCAACAGCAGGCTGGATGGCACTGAACAAGGTGAAATGTACCAGGATTAAATGAAGTGGTGTGCTAGAGTGATGGTTAGATTTTCAGGAAGTTTGCAAGCCTGCTGAAATTAAGTTGGTAGCCTGAAACTGGCCATGGTAGGAGTATTTACGGCACAGAAATTGGCAGCTACTAGTCAGGGCATCTCCTCTCCCCAGAAGCCAGTTTATTATGCACCAGTGAACCAGTTAAATGTCAAATCCTTCACTTCCATCCACAAAATAAGTGGCACAACTAATTGTAGGCAGTATAGGTAGGATGTACAGAGCCTGAATTTTAGAATCAGATAGATCTGAGGAAATAATGGTAAGAGAGATGCAACACTGCCAGCTTTCAAGATAGAGGAAGGGCCCACAAGCCAAGGAATGTGGGTGGCCTTTAGAAGCAGAAAAGGCCTTGAGACTTGAGAAAGGAATGCAGGCCTGCTCACACCTTGATTTTAGAACAAGAACATCCGTGTCAGACTTCTCGCCTACAGTACTGTAAGATAATAAATTTGCTTTGCTTTAAGCCACCAAATTGTGGTAATTTGTTATGACAGCCATAGAAAACTAATATAACACCTAATCCAAGATGGGCCACCCTACCTTTTCCCTGGGAATTTGGAATTGGGACTGAGAACAAGTGAATACAGAGGATAGGGAAGAATCCAGGATGTAGAACAATCTATAAATCAGTGAACCATGTTTCAAGGCATGGGGGCTGCTCTAGATTAATAAAGATTTAAAAGACATACCAATGGTATGCTTCTTGATTGGATCCTGGTTCATAATAACAAGCTATAAAAGGTACTCTAGGCCAGGTACAGTGGCTCATGCCTGTAATTCCAGCACTTTGGGAGGCTGAGGTGGGTGGATCACCTGAGGTAAGGAGTTCGAGACCAGCCTGACTAATGTAGTGAAACCCCATCTCTCCTAAAAATACAAAAATAGCCGAGCATGGGGGTGCATGCCTGTAGTTCCAGGTACTCAGGGGACTGAGGCAGGAGAATCACTTGAACCTAGGAGGTGGAGGTTGCAGTAAGCTGAGATTGCGCCACTGCACTCCAGCCTGGGCAACAGAGCAAAGGCACTCTACAGACAAATTAGGAAATTGAATATGACTGTATATTAGATAATATTAGGAAATCAGTGCCGATTTTCTTAGTATAATAGTGGTATTTGGTTATACAGCTTACTTTCAAACAGTTCAGCAAACACATACACAAATACATAAAGCCAATACAGCAAAATGGTGAATGACAGATCTAGAGGGTGATACATATACATATATATGTAAAATATATAAACTTTTATGTTTGAAAAATTTCCAATAAAAAATGCAAAACTTTAGTTCCGGGGGGGGGTGTCAAGAAAAAAATTCAGAAACTAAATAAAAATCTCTGTTTACTAACTTCTGTTGAAAAGTACATCATTAGCTGGGCACAGTAGAGCTCGCCTGTAGTCCCAGCTACTCGGGAGGCTTAGGCAGGAGGATCATTTGAGCCCAGGAGGTCAAGGTTGCAATGAGCCATGATCATCCCACTGCACTCCAGCCTGGGCAACAGAGCAAGACTCTGTAAAAAAAACAAAAACAAAAACAAACGCCTAGGAGCAGTGGCTCAAGCCTGTAATCCTAACACTTTGGGAGGCCAAGGTGGGCCCATTGCTTGAGGTATTGTTTGAGGAGTTTGAGACTAGCTAAAGTATACTGTAAACTAAGTAAGAAAACAAACTGCAGACTGGTAAAATATACTTGCTCTGCGTATAATCAACAACAAAGGATTACTAACCAAAATCTATTTTTCGTAATCCTATAAATCAAAGGAAAAATACAAATAACCCAATAGCAAAATGAGCAAAGGATATGAACAGGTAATTCAAAGGGAAAGTTCAAATTACCTATAAATTGTGAAAAGATTATTTTTACTCATTTCCATTTATATTTATATGCTTTGTAAAGAAGGGGTTTCACTTTGTTGTGCAGGCTGGTTTCCAATTCCGGATTCAAGTGATCCTTCTGCCTCAGCCTCCCAAAGTGCTGAGATAATAGGCATGAGTCTCCATGCTCCAGCCAAATTGTGAAACCATTCTTAACACTGCTAGGAATAATGGAAATAGAAATTAAAGTAATAACAAGATACTATTTTACACTTATCACTGGGAACTGGGAAACATGGTACAACCATGTTGAAGAGCAATTTGGCAACATTATATAAAGTTGAGGATGTGTGTACTTCACAATCGAGGAATTGTATGTACTTTATGTGTCCTCTTCAGAGAAACCCACATACATGCACAAGGAGATAGCCATGAGAGCAGTCATGGCAACACTGTCTGTAATAGTAAATGGCTGAAAACAAGTGTCCATTAGTAGGGATCAATGGGATCAATACATTATGGTACAGCCACAGGACTGAACATAGCACTAAGTCTGTGTGGTGTCAATGTGGATAAAGCTGAAATGATTTTGAGTGGGGAAAAAAAACTATGATGCCATTTATAATATCATTTTCTAAAAGTGTGCCACATACTATACGTTGCTAATGGATATATACACATGTGATAATACATAAAAATATAAATAGGAAGGGTGACACCAGCTTCAGGAAAGTAGTTACTAGTAAAGAGAAATAAAGAGACATGGGATGGTAAAGAGCTTTACCTGTACCTGTAACGTTCTATTTCTTAAAAATTAGATATCTAAGGAAATATCAGGAAAGGTATTTTATGAATAAAATTAATACCTACTGAATACAATTTACTATTGTCAGGCATTATTCAAAGCACTATTCTAATATGTAGATCATTTAATCAATAGTAAATTTATGCAGTAGGTACTAATACTATCATCTCACTTTACAGAGGAGAAAATAAAGGCACAGCAAACCAAGCAACTTGCCTCAGGTCACATGAATAATAGGTAATAGATTTAAACCCAGGTAGTCTGGCTCCAGAGTTTATAAGCTTAACCTATGACTCTATGTTGCTACCCTGCCTTGTTCTCTCTGGATCTCATAATAGCAGGAACAGCGGGTACAGAATAGGACTCAGTGGCTCTGAGTATGGCCCATGGCTTGCCCAGTGCGGGGGGCTGGTAGGCTACAGGGCAGGGGTCCCTCCTTCGTGCCATGCTGTGACTCCAAATGGCACAGGATGGCCACCATTCATCCAAGGACCCCTCCTACACCGGCATCTACCTTCCTCAAAATACCTGTCTGTACAATCTTCTGCTCTTCCCTCCCAGAGCCCTTGCCCCTCCTCACCTGTTCCTTCTTCAGGAGCTGCCAGGCATAAGTTACCATATATTTCCTCATGGTTCCTGGGTGGGCAAATGGCACAACTAGCCCCTTTGCCTTTCAAGGGGAGGACTAGAAATTTCCCCCAAGAATTCAGTAATACTAGAAACAAATAGATTTCTTCAGTAACAAGGCAAGAAAGAGCTTCACTTCACTCCTCCCACCATACCATCAGCTACCAGAAGCCCTGCTCTGAGAAAATCATTCTCAGAATCTCCGAAGGTCACAGTGAAAGGTTCTGGAGGGAGGGGCACAGGGATTGGAATGTGGGAGTCTAACAATTACTGGACACTCACAGGCATTACCTCAGTGAATCCTCACAACCACCCAAACTTTTACCCAACTCCACACACAGGAGACTGGGGATCAAAGGAGCTAAAATGGCTGCCAGAGTCCTGGTGAGATAGGAGAATGGCAGGACTTGCCTTCTGGTCACAACCCTGCTGACCAAGACAGGATCTGGTCCAGACAGGATAAAGTGGAAAAACTGGCATGAACCAGCAGACAGGGACAAAAGCAAACCCCTAGCTATCCCCATTCCACATTAGCATAAGACACTCCCAACAGTGCCATGACTGTTTACAAATGTCTTGGCAATGACAAGGAAGTTGCCACCCCTTTCCTAGAAAGCTCTAAAAACCCATCCCTCAATTTGCATTAACCTGCCCTTTAATTTATGTGTGATTGAAAGTGGATAGGATGAGTATCCTACACTTGATCTTAGCCAAAAGACTGAGAAGGGGTTAGAAGTGAGTATAAATACAGTTGCTAACATCCCATACACCGGGTGCTGGGTTAGCCTATGAGTCAGCCCTACTCCACAAGGAACAGCACCATTCACTAAAAGATTCCTAACACCACTGGCTTACCCTTGAATTCTTTCCTTGGGCAAAGCCAGGAACTCTCCTGGGCTAAGTCCCAATTTGGGGGGACTCACCTGTCCTGCAAAGACAGGGCTTTTGTTTTTGTTTTTTTGCTTTTTTTTT